GCTACGAACCCGACCACCCGAGTTCGATTCCCGCTCACGGCCACCACCACTCAGTGACGATTCTCTGAACCGGTCCTGGGCCTCCCCTAGGTCGACTCAGCCGCAAATGAGCTACCTGGTGTAGTTGTGGTGGTGTAGTGGTGGTGGTGTAGTGGTAGTGGTGGTGTAGTGGTAGTGGTGGTATAGTGGTGGTGATGTAGTGGTGGTGGTGGTGTAGTGAACATCGCTACCACTCGGGGAGAGACAAAGGCGGCCGGGCGTGGTGGTGGTGCTGGTGGCCACCCCCTCTGTGTGTAGCCACAGTGCCGGTAGCCTTCATAGACGCTGCTGCTGCTACTCGCTACTAGCAGCACTTGCCCCTACAGCCCTGCTAGAGGCTACCTGGGGGAGCTTTGTCTGTGTGTGTGCATCATAGGCGGTGCTACTCGCTACTGACAGCACTTGCCCCTACAGCCCTGCTAGAGGCTACCTGGGGGAGCTGTGTCTGTGTGTGTGTTGATGGGATGATGTGTCGACGAAGCTTCTCGTGATCAGTAATGAAGATTTGTTCTTTTTGCTTGACGATGTCGAGAGAGTGAAAATAAATCCAACATCGACAAATCTGTGTTTCATACTTGGAGCTAAATCCGATGATCTGTAAAGCTCTTTGCACGCAGGTGTCTGGTGAAGAGGTGGAGACGCGTGATGTCAGAGTGTCACTACATCACGTGGTGTCAGAGTGTCACTACATCACGTGGTGTCAGAGTGTCACTACATCACGTGGTGTCAGAGTGTCACTACATCACGTGGTGTCAGAGTGTCACTACATCACGTGGTGTCAGAGTGTCACTACATCACGTGGTGTCAGAGTGTCACTACATCACGTGGTGTCAGAGTGTCACTACATCACGTGGTGTCAGTGTGTCACTACATCACGTGGTGTCAGAGTGTCACTACATCACGTGGTGTCAGTGTGTCACTACATCACGTGGTGTCAGAGTGTCACTACATCACGTGGTGTCAGTGTGTCACTACATCACGTGGTGTCAGAGTGTCACTACATCACGTGGTGTCAGTGTGTCACTACATCACGTGGTGTCAGAGTGTCACTACATCACGTGGTGTCAGTGTGTCACTACATCACGTGGTGTCAGTGTGTCACTACATCACGTGGTGTCAGAGTGTCACTACATCACGTGGTGTCAGAGTGTCACTACATCACGTGGTGTCAGTGTCACTACATCACGTGGTGTCAGTGTGTCACTACATCACGTGGTGTCAGTGTGTCACTACATCACGTGGTGTCAGTGTGTCACTACATCACGTGGTGTCAGAGTGTCACTACATCACGTGGTGTCAGTGTGTCACTACATCACGTGGTGTCAGTGTGTCACTACATCACGTGGTGTCAGTGTGTCACTACATCACGTGGTGTCAGTGTGTCACTACATCACGTGGTGTCAGTGTCACTACATCACGTGGTGTCAGAGTGTCACTACATCACGTGGTGTCAGAGTGTCACTACATCACGTGGTGTCAGAGTGTCACTACATCACGTGGTGTCAGTGTGTCACTACATCACGTGGTGTCAGAGTGTCACTACATCACGTGGTGTCAGTGACACACACAGTGACACAGTGACACACACACAGTGACACACACACACACAGTGACACCCGCAGTGACACACACACATAGTGACACACACACAGGGACACACACAGTGACACACACAGTGACACACACACACAGTGACACACACAGTGACACACACACAGTGACACACACAGTGACACACACACAGTGACACACACAGTGACACACACACACACAGTGACACACACAGTGACACACACACAGTGACACACAGTGACACACACACACAGTGACACACACACAGTGACACAGTGACACACAGTGACACAGTGACACACAGTGACACACACACAGTGACACAGTGACACACACACACAGTGACACACACAGTGACACACAGTGACACACACTGACACACACAGTGACACACACACAGTGACACACAGTGACACACACACAGTGACACACAGTGACACACCCAGTGACACACACACACAGTGACACACACACAGTGACACACACACAGTGACACACAGTGACACACACACACAGTGACACACACACACATAGACACACAGTGACACACAGTGACACACACACAGTGACACACACACACACAGTGACACACAGTGACACACAGTGACACACACACCCAGTGACACACACATAGTGACACACACAGTGACACACACAGTGACACACACACAGTGACACACACACAGTGACACACAGTGACACACACAGTGACACACAGACACAGTGACACACAGACACAGTGACACACAGACACAGTGACACACACAGTGACACACACACAGTGACACACAGTGACACACACACAGTGACACACACACAGTGAGACACACACAGTGAGACACACAGTGACACACACAGTGACACACACACACACAGATACACACACACAGTGACACACACAGTGACACACACACACAGTGACACACAGTGACACACACACAGTGACACACACACAGTGAGACACACAGTGACACACACACAGTGACACACACACACAGTGAGACACACAGTGACACACACAGTGACACACACAGTGACACACAGTGACACACACACAGTGACACACACAGTGACACACACACAATGACACACACAGTGGCACACACACACACACACAGTGACATACACACAGTGACACACACAGTGACACACAGTGACACACACACAGTGATACACACAGTGACACACACACAGTGACACACAGTGACACACAGTGACACACACAGTGACACACACACAGTGACACACACACAGTGACACACACACAGTGACACACAGTGACACACACACAGTGACACACAGTGACACACACAGTGACACACAGTGACACACACACAGTGACACACACACAGTGACACACACACAGTGACACACACAGTAACACACACAGTGACACACACAGTGACACACACACACACACAGTGACACACACACACAGTGACACACAGTGACACACACACACAGTGACACACACACAGTGACACACACAGTAACACACAGTAACACACAGTGACACACACACAGTGACACACACAGTGACACACACACAGTGACACACACAGTGACACACACACAGTGACACACAGTGACACACAGTGACACACACAGTGACACACACACACAGTGACACACAGACACAGTGACACACAGTGACACACACAGTGACACACACAGTGACACACACACACAGTGACACACACACACAGTGACACACAGTGACACACACACAGTGACACACACACAGTGAGACACACAGTGACACACACAGTGACACACACACAGTGACACACACACACAGTGACACACAGTGACACACACACAGTGACACACACACAGTGAGACACACAGTGACACACAGTGACACACACACAGTGACACACACACACAGTGAGACACACAGTGACACACACACAGTGACACACACAGTGACACACACACACAGTGACACACACACAGTGACACACAGTGACACACACACAGTGACACACACACACAATGACACACACAGTGACACACACACAGTGACATACAGTGACACACACAGTGACACACAGTGACACACACACAGTGACACACACAGTGACACACACACACAGTGACACACACAGTGACACACAGTGACACACACAGTGACACACACACAGTGACACACAGTGACACACACACACAGTGACACACAGTGACACACACAGTGACACACACACAGTGACACACAGTGACACACACACACAGTGACACACACACACAGTGACACACACAGTGACACACACACAGTGACACACAGTGACACACACACAGTGACACACACACAGTGACACACAGTGACACACACACAGTGACACACACAGTGACACACACACAGTGACACACACACACAGTAACACACACAGTGACACACACACAGTGACACACACAGTAACACACACAGTGACACACACACACAGTGACACACACACACACACAGTGACACACACACAGTGACACACACACACAGTGACACACACACAGTGACACACACACAGTGACACACACACACAGTAACACACACAGTGACACACACACAGTGACACACACACAGTGACACACACAGTAACACACAGTGACACACACACAGTGACACACACAGTGACACACACAGTGACACACACACACACACACAGTGACACACACAGTGACACACACACAGCACGTGATATCTTTTTTTATTTAACTCCTCGTCGTTGTTGAAGCCTTCAACTGAGTGCTGCGGTGGTGGTGGTTGTGGTGGTGGTTGTGGTGGTAGTGGTGGTGGTGGTTGTGGTGGTTGTGGTGATGGTTGTGGTGGTTGTGGTGGTGGTGATGGTTGTGGTTGTTGTGGTGGTGGTTGTGGTGGTGGTTGTGGTGGTTGTTGTGGTTGTTGTGGTGGTGGTTGTGGTTGTTGTGGTGGTTGTGGTGGTTGTTGTGGTGGTTTTAGTGGTGGTTGTTGTGGTTGTGGTTGTTGTGGTGGTTGTTGTGGTTGTGGTGGTTGTTGTGGTGCTTGTGGTGGTGGTTGTTGTGGTTGTGGTGGTTGTTGTGATGGTGGTGGTGGTTGTTGTGGTTGTGGTGGTTGTGGTTGTGGTGGTGGTTGTGGTGGTGGTTGTGGTGGTGGTTGTGGTGGTGGTTGTGGTGGTTGTGGTGGTTGATGTGGTGGTGGTGGTTGTGGTGGTTGTTGTGGTGGTGGTTGTGGTGGTTGTTGTGGTGGTTGTGGTGGTGGTGGTTGTGGTGGTTGTGGTTGTTGTGATTGTGGTTGTGGTGGTTGTGGTGGTTGTGGTGGTTGTGGTGGTGGTTGTTGTGGTTGTTGTGGTGGTTGTTGTGGTGGTTGTTGTGGTGGTGGTTGTGGTGGTTGTTGTGGTGGTTGTGGTGGTGGTGGTGGTTGTGGTTGTTGTGGTTGTGGTTGTGGTGGTTGTGGTGGTTGTGGTGGTGGTTGTTGTGGTTGTTGTGGTTGTGGTGCTAATCGCTGCTGTTGCTGGAGTCTCCTTCGTCGTCATCGTCACAGGAGACGGGGAAACGCAGCACGGCGGCCACTCCACTTAGCTGTGCCAGCTCTGGCGGTCCAGGACATCCACGGGGGGAGAGACACGGGGAGGGAGTGGTGGGTGCAGTGGTTAGCGCCACGTGTGTGTGTGTCTGTGTGTGTCACTGTGTGTGTGTGTGTGTAATGTGTGTGTGTGTGACTGTGTGTGTGTCTGTGTGTGTGTGTGTGTCTGTGTGTGTCTGTGTGTGTGACTGTGTGACTGTGTGTCTGTGTGTATCTGTGTGTCACTCACGCTCCCCAGACACGTGTAGACTTGAGAACACCCTGCACACAGACAAGGGAGAGGGTGAGTGAGTGAGCGAGTGGGTGAGCAGGTGGGTGAGCGAGTGGGTGAGTGGGTGGGTGAGTGGGTGAGCGAGAAAATGGGTGAGCGAGTGGGTGAGCAGGTGGTGAGCGGGTGGGTAAGCGAGTGGGTGAACGAGTGGGTGAGCAGGTGGGTGAGCGGGTGGGTAAGCGGGTGGGTGAGCGAGTGGGTGAGTGAGTGGGTGAGTGAGTGGGTGAGCGAGCAATTGGGTGAGCGAGTGGGTGAGCAGGTGGTTGAGCGGGTGGGTGAGCGGGTGGGTAAGCGAGTGGGTGAGTGAGTGGGTGAGTGAGTGGGTGAGCGAGCAAGTGGGTGAGCGAGTGGGTGAGCAGGTGGGTGAGCAGGTGGGTAAGCGGGTGGGTAAGCGAGTGGGTGAGCGAGTGGGTGAGTGAGTGGTTGAGCGGGTGGGTGAGCGGGTGGGTGAGCGGGTGGGTGAGCAAGTGGGTGAGCGGGTGGGTGAGCAAGTGGGTGAGCAAGTGGGTGAGCAAGTGAGTGAGTGGGTGAGTGAGTGGGTGAGCGGGTGGGTGAGCGAGTGGGTGAGCGAGTGGGTGAGTGAGTTGGTGAGCGGGTGGGTAAGCGAGTGGGTGAGCAGGTGGGTAAGCGAGTGGGTGAGCGAGTGGGTGAGCGAGTGGGTGAGCGGGTGGGTGAGCGGGTGGGTGAGCGGGTGGGTGAGCGGGTGGGTGAGCAAGTGGGTGAGCGGGTGGGTGAGCGGGTGGGTGAGTGAGTGGGTGAGTGAGTTGGTGAGCGGGTGGGTAAGCGAGTGGGTGAGCGAGTGGGTGAGTGGCCACTCACCTCACCGTCCCTCCATTCTCCCTCACGCTGTCCACAAGACGGACATAGCGACTCCTCACCAACACGTCCGGGTTCCTGTACATCAACCAGACAGACACACACACACAGTGACACACACACACAGACACACAACAACCGCCATTCGCCACTAAGTGGCGGTGACGTCACCACGACGCTTGTGCCAGGCTATGTGCACCCTGAGGCCACGTGAAGTGTCGAACGCCCGCTGGCAGGTCACAGGGCAGACCCAGGTGCCACGGGTCGACTGACTGAGATGACTGGCTGATGCACCACCTGTGCCCCCTACTGTGCCAACCTGCTGTGCTTTAGCCACCCGGCGCTCATTGTTGTGAGCGTCGCTCCTCCGCCCTCCGTTGTTGTTGGAGGGCGACTGCCTCCAACTGCCCAGTAGCATCCTTCACGAGCCTCTTCCACAGAGGCCGATCTTGACACCGCTGGTACCAGTCATCGGCAAGTCCACTCAGCTCCACGTCCTCCTGTACCACATCACTCCATCTCTTCTCTAGCCCGTGCCGCGCCCGCTTAGCCCCCTCAATCCGGCCGAACAAAAGCTGTTTCGGCATGCGGTGGCTGGGCATGCGGGCTACATGACCCAGCCATCGCAGCCTTGCCTGCCGGAGGAGCTCACCGATGGGACCCTGCCCAGATCTTTCAAGGATTTGTGAGCTCCTCACACAATCCAGTCTGGTTAAACCCAGGATGGATCGTAGGCAGGCCAGCCTAAATGTTTCTAACCGGCGAAGATGCTCCATTAGGGGGGTCCACGTTTCGCAAGTGTAGAGAAGGGAGGGAATGACCGTGGCCGAGAAGACCTGAAGCTTAGTGCGGAGCGACAGACCAGGTAGCTTCCACACAGCGTTACGCACCCGATGAAAAGATATTGCCGCTCGACTGATTCGGAGTGAGACCTCTGCTGTTAAACTGGAGCCAGTCATAAGCACAATGCCCAGGTATGGGAAACTCTCCACTCTCTCCACAACTGCCCCATCACCGATTGGGAGTTGTGGGGGTGGAGTGTCCGATGGTACAAAATACCCAGGCAGGTGCTTAGTTTTGGTGGGGCTGATGGTAAGGCCCCACCTCTTAGTGGCACGCTCCAGTCTCAGCAGCAGCGTCTCCAACTCCTCCTCTGACTGAGCAGCTATTACCAAATCATCAGCATACATAACGTGGTTGAGCAATAGGGAGCCATCCCTTGACCGCACCCGGGCATCGATTAGCCTCCCATTATATCTGTACCATATGGAGATTCCCCCGGTACAGCTATTGAAGGCTTCACGAACTACGTGGTCAAAATAGATGTTAAATAATGTGGAAGCCAGAGGACATCCCTGTCGCACCCCAAGGTGTACAGGGAATGGCTCTGACTCCCGGCCACGTAGTTTTACCCGGGCCCGCTCACCATCATGAAGGTCCTTAATGATCGTGAGCAGAGGGTCAGGTACTTCAAAAGCACGAAGAACGACCCAGAGCCCAGGCCTACTGATGGTATCATAGGCCTTGACCAGGTCAATAAAGCAGAGATGTAGGTCTTGTTGGAATTCCCTACACCTCTGCTGTAGCAGACGGACAGAAAATATGGCATCTGTGCAGGACCGCCCTTTCCTGAAACCGCATTGGGGCTCCGCAAGCCTCTCCTCAGCGTGCCTGGCAAGGCGATGCTGAATAATCCTTGCCAGGACCTTTCCCGGCACACTGAGGAGTGAGATGCCCCTGTAGTTGTTACAGTCTGTGCGGTCCCCCTTCTTAAAAAGGGGGACCACCAGGGCATCCTTCCAATCCTGCGGAACCCGTCCAGTGGTCCAGACTGTTGTTATGATGTCATATAGGGCAGTCTGTGCACAAACGCCACCCTCCCTCAGCATTTCGCTTGGGAGATCATCTCTGCCCGCTGCCTTTCCTGGTCTCAGACTCCGGATCGCCTTCAATACTTCCTCAGCAGATGGCACCTCAGCCAGCCACTCACAGGGGGTGACTTCTTCCAATATTTGAGGCACCGCAGCCTCAGCAGGGTCATCCTCACTTTGTGCCACGATGTTTTCCTGGCTGAGGGATTTTCCCTCCCCCAGGACCTCACAGAAATGCTCAGCAAATCTGCGAACCTGTTCCTGGGGGTCGGAGATTGGATCACCGTTTTTTCCCCTAATGATGGTAATAGGTGTGGCGCTGCAGGTTACTTTTTTGATGGAGTTAAATAGAGATTTGTGATCACGGGCCACTGAGGCAGACTCCATCTCCTCAGCAACCCGCGACCACCACCCATCCTTGCAGCGCCTCACGGCTCTCTCTGAACCTCCGAGCGAAGGCTGCGGTAAGCCTCCTCATTCTCTGACGTGGGATTCTGTAGCCGATGACAGTGGGCCTGTCGCTTTTTCTCAACCATCCTGAACACCTCTGTCAGCCAGGGTCTCTGGGGAGGTCTGGACCGCGTACCCAAAGCAGCCATTGCAGCTGCATGAGTCACAGTCCTAAACCTCGCCCATTTACCCTCAACATCAGGAGGAGTCGGGGACGATGCCAATCCCAGCCGCAAGCGATGATGAAATTCTCGCTTGCAACTTTCATCAGATAACTGAGACCAGGCCACTTTATGTTGGAATGGGGTCCTGGGTGTACACCCACCACCGGAGTGGAAGAATGGCAGGCGCATCTTACAGATGACTAGTCGATGGTCAGAGGGCAGATCAGCTCCACGGTAGGTCCTGGTGTCAAGGACATGGGCTCGCATTCGCTGGTCTGTCACTATGTAGTCCAGCAGATGTTCTTGCTTGGACCCGGCATGCATCCATGATGTTGTGTGGATGCGCCGATGCCGGAACAGCGTGTTGGTAATTACAAGCCCATGGGCTGCACAAAAATCTAGCAGCCTCCTACCGTTGTTATTGAGCTGATCTGGCCCATGCCCTCCAATCACTCCAGACCAGGTGCCAGTATCATGACCAACTCGGGCATTGAAGTCACCCAACATGATGACTCTATCCCGAGGGGCCACTTTAGCCAGCACCTGTGACAGGAGGTCATAGAAGGCATCTGACTCATCGGCTTTGCCTGCATCCCTCCACGGATGTTCATCTTCGGTGGGGGCATAAGTAACCACGACCACCATTCCTCGCCTCCGGTTGATGGGAAGGCGAGCCCAAAGTAGCCTGGGGCTTACAGCTTCCCACACCTCACCGCCACGCTCCCACGCCCCCTTCATTCTTTTGTTCAAAAGAAGAGCCACACCCTGTTGTTTGGCAGTCTGCTGCCCCGAGTAGAGGACTGTCCACCCCTCATGGTGGCAGGAGCCAGAGCCGGTCCACCGGACCTCCTGAATGCCGCATAGATCCAGGCGGTACCGGTCCAGCTCCCGACAGAGGAGTGGCAGCCTCTCCTCTGCAGTGAGCGTTCGAACATTCCACGTGGCCACCCGTAGTGGCTTTTCGTTGTTTCTGGAGTAGCCCCGAGGGTAGGTATTCAATCTCCTGGCTCCGCCAATTGGGGTTTGGCCAGGAAACGTCATAGACGCCTGGCCCCCCGGGGCCTCCGGCACAAGCTTATTAGTTACACACACTCACTCACACACACACTCACACACTCACTCACACACACACTCACACACCCACTCACACACTCGCTCACCCACTCACACACTCACTCACACACACACATACTCACACACACACACTCACTCATCCACTCACTCAGACACTCACACACTCACACACACACTCACTCACACACTCACTCACACACTCACTCACACACTCACTCACACACTCACACACTCACCCACTCACACACTCAGACACTCACACACTCACATACTCACTTACCCACTCACACACTCACTCACCCACTCACACACTCAGACACTCACACACTCAGACACTCACACACTCACATACTCACTCACACACTCACTCACACACACACTCACTCACACACTCACACACTCACTTACCCACTCACACACTCACTCACCCACTCACACACTCAGACACTCACACACTCAGACACTCACACACTCACTCACTCACACACTCACACACTCACCCACTCACACACTCAGACACTCACACACTCACATACTCACTCACACACTCACTCACACACACACTCACTCACACACTCACACACTCACTTACCCACTCACACACTCACTCACCCACTCACACACTCAGACACTCACACACTCAGACACTCACACACTCACTTACCCACTCAAACACTCACACACTCACTCACAGACTCAGACACTCACACACTCACTCACCCACTCACACACTCACACACTCACTCACACAGAGACCCACACACTCACACACTTACGCAAAGAGCTATGTCTGTACCTGAAGAGGTGATCACTACTACCAAGAGCACTTGCCCCTACAGCCCTGCTACAGGCTACCTGGGAGAGCTTTGTCTGTGTATGTATCATAGGTGGTGCTACTCGCTACTAGCAGCACTTGCCCCTACTGCCCTGCTAGAGGCTACCTGGGGGAGCTTTGTCTGTGTGTGTCATAGGTGGTGCTACTCGCTACTAGCAGCACTTGCCCCTACAGCCCAGCTAGAGGCTACCTGGGGTAGCTTTGTCTGACTGCATTTGCCCCTACAGCCCTGTTAGAGGCTACCTGGGGCGGCTTTGTCTGTGTCTTTGTGTGATAGCCAACTGCACTTGCCCCTACAGCCCAGCTAGAGGCTACCTGGGGTGGCTTTGTCTGACAGCACTTGCCCCTACAGCCCAGCTAGAGGCTACCTGAGGCGGCTTTGTCTGACAGCACTTGCCCCTACAGCCCAGCTAGAGGCTACCTGGGGTGGCTTTGTCTGACAGCACTTGCCCCTACAGCCCAGCTAGAGGCTACCTGGGGCGGCTTTGTCTGTGTCTTTGTGTGCTAGCCAACTGCACTTGCCCCTACAGCCCAGCTAGAGGCTACCTGGGGCGGCTTTGTCTGACTGCACTTGCCCCTACAGCCCTGCTAGAGGCTACCTGGGGCTTTTTTGTCTGTCTTTGTGTGCTAGCCAACTGCACTTGCCCCTACAGCCCAGCTAGAGGCTACCTGGGGTGGCTTTGTCTGACTGCACTTGCCCCTACAGCCCTGCTAGAGGCTACCTGGGGCGGCTTTGTCTGTGTCGTTGTGTGCTAGCCAACTGCACTTGCCCCTACAGCCCAGCTAGAGGCTACCTGGGGCGGCTTTGTCTGTGTCGTTGTGTGCTAGCCAACTGCACTTGCCCCTACAGCCCAGCTAGAGGCTACCTGGGGCGGCTTTGTCTGACTGCACTTGCCCCTACAGCCCAGCTAGAGGCTACCTGGGGCGGCTTTGTCTGTGTCTTTGTGTGCTAGCCAACTGCACTTGCCCCTACAGCCCAGCTATAGGCTACCTGGGGTGGCTTTGTCTGACTGCACTTGCCCCTACAGCCCAGCTAGAGGCTACCTGGGGCGGCTTTGTCTGTGTCTTTGTGTCTACCTGAACAGGTGGTCGCTGACCAGCAGCGAATCGACTGCCAGCGCCTCATTGGCTTTCTCCACGTGCTTCAAGCTGGCCAATCAGAGAGCACACACACACACACGTGGTGTCAGTGAGGAGTGGGTGGAGAGTGAGTGGGTGGGTGGGTGGTGAGTGGGTGGGTGGTGAGTGGGTGGGTGAGTCAGTGGGTGGGTCAGTGGGAGGGTGAGTGAGTGGGTGAGTGGGTGAGTGAGTAGGTGAGTGAGTGGGTGGGTGGGTGGTGAGTGGGTGGGTGAGTGGGTGAGTGGGTGGGTGAGTGGGTGAGTGGGTGGGTGAGTGGGTGAGTGGGTGGGTGAGTGAGTAGGTGAGTCAGTGGGTGGGTGAGTGAGTGAGTGGGTGAGTGAGTGGGTGGATGAGTGGGTGGGTGAGTGGGTGGGTGGGTGAGTGAGTGGGTGAGTGGGTGGGTGAGTGGGTGGGTGAGTGAGTGGGTGGGTGGTGAGTGGGTGAGTGAGTCAGTGGGTGGGTGAGTGAGTGGGTGAGTGAGTGGGTGGGTGGGTGGGTGGTGAGTGGGTGGGTGAGTCAGTGGGTGGGTCAGTGGGAGGGTGAGTGAGTGGGTGAGTGAGTAGGTGAGTCAGTGGGTGGGTGAGTGAGTGGGTGAGTGAGTAGGTGAGTGAGTGGGTGAATGAGTGAGTGGGTGAGTGGGTGGGTGAGTGAGTAGGTGAGTCAGTGGGTGAGTGGGTGAGTGAGTAGGTGAGTGAGTGGGTGAATGAGTGAGTGGGTGAGTGGGTGGGTGAGTGAGTAGGTGAGTCAGTGGGTGGGTGAGTGAGTGAGTGAGTGGGTGAGTGAGTGGGTGGATGAGTGGGTGGGTGATTGGGTGGGTGGGTGAGTGAGTGGGTGGGTGAGTGGGTGGGTGAGTGAGTGAGTGGGTGGTTGAGTGAGTAGGTGAGTCAGTGGGTGGGTGAGTGAGTGGGTTAGTGAGTGGGTGAGTGGGTGGGTGGTGAGTGAGTGGGTGAGTGAGTGGGTGAGTGATTGAGTCAGTGGGTGAGTGAGTGGGTGGTGAGTGGATGAGTGAGTGGGTGAGTGGGTGGGTGAGTGGGTGAGTGAGTGGGTGGGTGAGTGGGTGAGTGAGTGGTGAGTGGGTGAGTAGGTGGGTAGGTGAGTGAGTGGGTGAGTGAGTGGTGAGTGGGTGAGTGAGTGGGTGAGTGAGTGAGTGAGTGGGTGAGTGGGTGGGTGGGTGGGTGAGTGGGTGAGTGGGTGGGTGAGTGAGTAAGTGGGTGAGTGGTGAGTGAGTGGGTGGGTGGGTGAGTGAGTAGGTGGGTGGGTGGGTGGGTAAGTGAGTGAGTGGGTGGGTGGGTGAGTGAGTGAGTGGGTGGGTGGGTGAGTGGGTGGGTGGGTGGGTGAGTGAGTGAGTGAGTGGTGAGTGAGTGGGTGGGTGAGTGAGTGGGTGGTGAGTGGATGAGTGGTGAGTGGGTGAGTGGGTGAGTGAGTGGGTGGGTGAGTGGTGAGTGAGTGAGTGGTGAGTGAGTGGGTGAGTGAGTGAGTGGATGAGTGAGTGGTGAGTGGGTGGGTGGGTGAGTGAGTGAGTGGGTGAGTGGGTGGGTGGGTGAGTGAGTGGGTGGGTGGGTGAGTGAGTGGTGAGTGAGTGGGTGAGTGAGTGAGTGGGTGAATGAGTGGGTGAGTGGGTGGGTGGTGAGTGGGTGAGTGGGTGGGTGGTGAGTGACTGTGTGGGTGGGTGGTGGGTGAGAGGGTGGGTGAGAGGGTGAGTGAGTGAGTGGGTGAGTGAGTGGGTTCTTGAGTGAGTGGGTGAGTGAGTGAGTGAGTGGGTGAGTGAGTGGGTGCGTGGGTGAGTGAGTGGGTGAGTGAGTGAGTGGTGAGTGAGTGAGTGGTGAGTGAGTGGGTGAGTGAGTGGTGAGTGGGTGAGTAGGTGGGTGAGTGAGTGAGTGGGTGAGTGAGTGGTGAGTGGGTGAGTGAGTGGGTGAGTGAGTGAGTGGGTGAGTGGGTGGGTGGGTGGGTGAGTGGGTGAGTGGGTGGGTGAGTGAGTAAGTGGGTGAGTGGTGAGTGAGTGGGTGGGTGGGTGGGTGAGTGAGTAGGTGGGTGGGTGGGTGAGTGAGTGGGTGGGTGGGTGAGTGAGTGGGTGGGTGGGTGGGTGAGTGGGTGGGTGGGTGGGTGAGTGAGTGAGTGAGTGGTGAGTGAGTGGGTGGGTGAGTGGGTGGGTGGGTGGTGAGTGGGTGGGTGAGTGGGTGAGTGGGTGGGTGAGTGGGTGAGTGGGTGGGTGAGTGGGTGAGTGGGTGGGTGAGTGAGTAGGTGAGTCAGTGGGTGGGTGAGTGAGTGGGTGAGTGAGTGGGTGGATGAGTGGGTGGGTGAGTGGGTGGGTGGGTGAGTGAGTGGGTGAGTGGGTGGGTGAGTGGGTGGGTGGTGAGTGGGTGAGTGAGTCAGTGGGTGGGTGAGTGAGTGGGTGAGTGGGTGAGTGAGTGGGTGGGTGGGTGGGTGGTGAGTGGGTGGGTGAGTCAGTGGGTGGGTCAGTGGGAGGGTGAGTGAGTGGGTGAGTGAGTAGGTGAGTCAGTGGGTGGGTGAGTGAGTGGGTGAGTGAGTAGGTGAGTGAGTGGGTGAATGAGTGAGTGGGTGAGTGGGTGGGTGAGTGAGTAGGTGAGTCAGTGGGTGAGTGGGTGAGTGAGTAGGTGAGTGAGTGGGTGAATGAGTGAGTGGGTGAGTGGGTGGGTGAGTGAGTGGGTGAGTGAGTGGGTGGGTGAGTGAGTGAGTGAGTGGGTGAGTGAGTGGGTGGATGAGTGGGTGGGTGATTGGGTGGGTGGGTGAGTGAGTGGGTGGGTGAGTGGGTGGGTGAGTGAGTGAGTGAGTGGGTGGTTGAGTGAGTAGGTGAGTCAGTGGGTGGGTGAGTGAGTGGGTTAGTGAGTGGGTGGGTGGTGAGTGAGTGGGTGAGTGAGTGGGTGAGTGATTGAGTCAGTGGGTGAGTGAGTGGGTGGTGAGTGGATGAGTGAGTGGGTGAGTGGGTGGGTGAGTGGGTGAGTGAGTGGGTGGGTGAGTGGGTGAGTGAGTGGTGAGTGGGTGAGTAGGTGGGTGGGTGAGTGAGTGGGTGAGTGAGTGGTGAGTGGGTGAGTGAGTGGGTGAGTGAGTGAGTGAGTGGGTGAGTGGGTGGGTGGGTGGGTGGGTGGGTGAGTGGGTGGGTGAGTGAGTAAGTGGGTGAGTGGTGAGTGAGTGGGTGGGTGGGTGAGTGAGTAGGTGGGTGGGTGGGTAAGTGAGTGAGTGGGTGGGTGGGTGAGTGAGTGGGTGGGTGGGTGGGTGAGTGGGTGGGTGGGTGGGTGAGTGAGTGAGTGAGTGGTGAGTGAGTGGGTGGGTGAGTGAGTGGGTGGTGAGTGGATGAGTGGTGAGTGGGTGAGTGGGTGAGTGAGTGGGTGGGTGAGTGGGTGAGTGGTGAGTGAGTGGGTGAGTGAGTGAGTGGATGAGTGAGTGGTGAGTGGGTGAGTGGTGAGTGAGTGAGTGGGTGAGTGGGTGGGTGGGTGAGTGAGTGGGTGGGTGGGTGAGTGAGTGGTGAGTGAGTGGGTGAGTGAGTGAGTGGGTGAATGAGTGGGTGAGTGGGTGGGTGGTGAGTGGGTGAGTGGGTGGGTGGTGAGTGACTGTGTGGTTGGGTGGTGGGTGAGAGGGTGGGTGAGAGGGTGAGTGAGTGAGTGGGTGAGTGAGTGGGTTATTGAGTGAGTGGGTGAGTGAGTGAGTGAGTGGGTGAGTGAGTGGGTGCGTGGGTGAGTGAGTGGGTGAGTGAGTGAGTGGTGAGTGAGTGAGTGGTGAGTGAGTGGGTGAGTGAGTGGTGAGTGGGTGAGTAGGTGGGTGGGTGAGTGAGTGGGTGAGTGAGTGGTGAGTGGGTGAGTGAGTGGGTGAGTGAGTGAGTGGGTGAGTGGGTGGGTGGGTGGGTGAGTGGGTGAGTGGGTGGGTGAGTGAGTAAGTGGGTGAGTGGTGAGTGAGTGGGTGGGTGGGTGGGTGAGTGAGTAGGTGGGTGGGTGGGTGGGTGAGTGAGTGGGTGGGTGGGTGAGTGAGTGGGTGGGTGGGTGGGTGAATGGGTGGGTGGGTGGGTGAGTGAGTGAGTGAGTGGTGAGTGAGTGGGTGGGTGAGTGAGTGGGTGGTGAGTGGATGAGTGGTGAGTGGGTGAGTGGGTGAGTGAGTGGGTGGGTGAGTGGTGAGTGAGTGAGTGGTGAGTGAGTGGGTGAGTGAGTGAGTGGATGAGTGAGTGGTGAGTGAGTGGGTGGGTGAGTGAGTGAGTGGGTGAGTGGGTGGATGAGTGAGTGGTGAGTGAGTGGGTGGGTGAGTGAGTGAGTGGGTGAGTGGGTGGGTGGGTGAGTGAGTGGGTGGGTGGGTGAGTGAGTGGGTGGGTGAGTGAGTGGTGAGTGAGTGGGTGAGTGAGTGAGTGGGTGAATGAGTGGGTGAGTGGGTGGGTGGTGAGTGGGTGAGTGGGTGGGTGGTGGGTGGGTGTGTGGGTGGGTGGTGGGTGAGAGGGTGGGTGAGAGGGTGAGTGAGTGAGTGGGTGAGTGAGTGGGTGATTGAGTGAGTGGGTGAGTGAGTGAGTGGGTGAGTGAGTGGGTGCGTGGGTGAGTGAGTGGGTGAGTGAGTGAGTGAGTGGTGAGTGAGTGAGTGGTGAGTGAGTGGGTGAGTGGGTGAGTGAGTGGTGAGTGAGTGAGTGGGTGAGTGAGTAGGTGAGTGAGTGGGTGGGTGGGTGGTGAGTGGGTGGGTGAGTGGGTGGGTGGGTGAGTGGGTGGGTGGGTGAGTGGGTGGATGAGTGAGTGGGTGGCTGAGTGAGTAGGTGAGTCAGTGGGTGGGTCAGTGGGAGGGTGAGTGAGTGGGTGAGTGAGTGGGTGAGTGAGTGGGTGAGTTAGTGGGTGGGTGAGTGAGTGGGTGAGTGAGTGGGTGAGTGAGTAGGTGAGTGAGTGGGTGAATGAGTGAGTGAGTGGGTGAGTGGGTGGGTGAGTGAGTAGGTGAGTCAGTGGGTGGGTGAGTGAGTGAGTGGGTGAGTGAGTGGGTGGATGAGTGGGTGGGTGAGTGGGTGGGTGGGTGAGTGAGTGGGTGAGTGGGTGGGTGAGTGGGTGGGTGAGTGAGTGAGTGGGTGGTGAGTGGGTGAGTGAGTCAGTGGGTGGGTGAGTGAGTGGGTGAGTGGGTGAGTGAGTGGGTGGGTGGGTGGGTGGTGAGTGGGTGGGTGAGTCAGTGGGTGGGTCAGTGGGAGGGTGAGTGAGTGGGTGAGTGGGTGAGTGAGTAGGTGAGTCAATGGGTGGGTGAGTGAGTGGGTGAGTGAGTAGGTGAGTGAGTGGGTGAGTGGGTGGGTGAGTGAGTAGGTGAGTTAGTGGGTGAGTGGGTGAGTGAGTAGGTGAGTGAGTGGGTGAATGAGTGAGTGGGTGAGTGGGTGGGTGAGTGAGTAGGTGAGTCAGTGGGTGGGTGAGTGAGTGAGTGAGTGGGTGAGTGAGTGGGTGGATGAGTGGGTGGGTGAGTGGGTGGGTGGGTGAGTGAGTGGGTGAGTGGGTGATTGAGTGGGTGGGTGGTGAGTGAGTGGGTGAGTGAGTGGGTGAGTGATTGAGTCAGTGGGTGAGTGAGTGGGTGGTGAGTGGATGAGTGAGTGGGTGAGTGGGTGGGTGAGTGGGTGAGTGAGTGGGTGGGTGAGTGGGTGAGTGGGTGAGTGAGTGGTGAGTGGGTGAGTGGGTGGGTGGGTGAGTGAGTGGGAGAGTGAGTGGTGAGTGGGTGAGTGAGTGGGTGAGTGAGTGAGTGAGTGGGTGAGTGGGTGGGTGGGTGAGTGGGTGAGTGGGTGGGTGAGTGAGTGAGTGAGTGGGTGAGTGAGTGGTGAGTGAGTGGGTGGGTGGGTGGGTGAGTGAGTAGGTGGGTGGGTGGGTGGGTGAGTGAGTGGGTGGGTGGGTGAGTGAGTGGGTGGGTGGGTGGGTGAGTGAGTGAGTGGTGAGTGAGTGGGTGGTGAGTGGATGAGTGGTGAGTGAGTGAGTGGGTGAGTGAGTGGGTGGGTGGGTGAATGGATGAGTGAGTGAGTGGGTGAGTGAGTGGGTGAGTGAGTGGTGAGTGAGTGAGTGGTGAGTGAGTGGGTGAGTGAGTGAGTGAGTGGATGAGTGAGTGGTGAGTGAGTGAGTGGGTGGGTGAGTGAGTGAGTGGGTGGGTGGGTGGGTGAGTGAGTGGGTGAGTGAGTGGTGAGTGAGTGAGTGGGTGAGTGAGTGGGTGAATGAGTGGGTGGGTGGTGAGTGGGTGAGTGGGTGGGTGGTGAGTGGGTGTGTGGGTGGGTGGTGGGTGAGAAGGTGGGTGAGAGGGTGAGTGAGTGAGTGGGTGAGTGAGTGGGTGATTGAGTGAGTGGGTGAGTGAGTGGGTGAGTGAGTGAGTGGGTGAGTGAGTGGGTGCGTGGGTGAGTGAGTGGGTGAGTGAGTGAGTGAGTGGGGAGTGAGTGAGTGAGTGGGGAGTGAGTGAGTGAGTGGTGAGTGAGTGGGTGAGTGGGTGAGTGAGTGGTGAGTGAGTGGGAGAGTGAGTGAGTGGGTGAGTGAGTGGGTGAGTGAGTGGTGAGTGAGTGGTGAGTGGTGAGCGAGTGGTGAGTGAATGGTGAGTACCCATAGAACGCTCTATCTGGCTCGTTCTGCATGGCTTTGTAGAAGTCATCCAGAGCCTTCACCTCTCCTGCCGCCTGGAAACACGGACAGTGTGACACTGTACCCAGCAACACTGTACCCATCGACATACTGTACCCAGCAACACTGTACCCAGCAACATACTGTACCCAGCAACATACTGTACACAGTCACTGTACCCATCAACATACTGTACCCACCAACACTGTACCCAGCGACACTGTACACAGCAACATACTGTACACACCAACACTGCACACACCAGCACTGTACCCAGCAACACTGTACCCAGCAACATACTGTACACAGTCACCGCACCCATCAACATACTGTACCCACCAACACTGTACCCATCAACATACTGTACACAGTCACTGTACCCATCAACATACTGTACCCACCAACACTGTACCCAGCAACATACTGTACCCAGCAACATACTGTACACACCAACACTGCACACACCAACACTGTACCCAGCAATGGACTGTACACACCAACACTGTACACACCAACACTGTACCCAGCAACACTGTACACACCGACACTGTACACACCGACACTGTACACACCGACACTGTACACACCGACACTGTACACACCGACACTGTACACACCGACACTGTACCGAACAACGCTAAACAGCACCACACTGTACCAAGCAACACTACTCACCACTACACTGTAGCTCTGTACAGTGTAGTGGTGAGTGTAGTGGTGAGTGTGGTGGTGAGTGTGGTGGTGAGTGTAGTGGTGAGTATTGGTGGTGAGTGTGGTGGTGAGTGTGGTGGTGAGTGTGGTGGTGAGGGTAGTGGTGAGTGTGTGGTGAGTGTGGTGGTGAGTGTGGTGGTGAGTGTAGTGGTGAGTATTGGTGGTGAGTGTAGTGGTGAGTGTAGTGGTGAGTGTAGTGGTGAGTGTGGTGGTGAGTGTGGTGGAGTGTGGTGGTGAGTGTCGTGGTGAGTGTGGTGGTGAGTGTGGTGGTGAGTGTGGTGGTGAGTGTAGTGGTGAGTATTGGTGGTGAGTGTAGTGGTGAGTGTAGTGGTGAGTATTGGTGGTGAGTGTAGTGGTGAATGTAGTGGTGAGTGTAGTGGTGAGTGTGGTAAGTGTGGTGGTGAGTGTAGTGGTGAGTAGTGGTGAGTAGTGGTGAGTAGTGGTGAGTAGTGGTGAGTATTGGTGAGTAGTGGTGAGTGTAGTGGTGAGTAGTGGTGAGTAGTGGTGAGTGTAGTGGTGAGTGTAGTGGTGAGTAGTGGTGAGTGTAGTGGTGAGTAGTGGTGAGTGTAGTGGTGAGTAGTGGTGAGTAGTGGTGAGTGTGGTGGTGAGTAGTGGTGAGTAGTGGTGAGTGTAGTGGTGAGTATTGGGGAGTAGTGGTGAGTAGTGGTGAGTGTGGTGAGTAGTGGTGAGTGTGGTGGTGAGTGTAGTGGTGAGTAGTGGTGAGTGTAGTGGTGAGTGTAGTGGTGAGTGTAGTGGTGAGTAGTGGTGAGTGTAGTGGTGAGTGTAGTAGTGAGTGTAGTGGTGAGTAGTGGTGAGTATTGGTGAGTAGTGGTGAGTAGTGGTGAGTGTGGTGAGTAGTGGTGAGTGTAGTGGTGAGTAGTGGTGAGTAGTGGTGAGTGTAGTAGTGAGTGTAGTAGTGAGTGTAGTAGTGAGTGTAGTGGTGAGTAGTGGTGAGTAGTGGTGAGTAGTGGTGAGTATAGTGGTGAGTAGTGGTGAGTGTAGTAGTGAGTGTAGTAGTGAGTGTAGTAGTGAGTGTAGTGGTGAGTAGTGGTGAGTAGTGGTGAGTAGTGGTGAGTATAGTGGTGAGTATAGTGGTGAGTAGTGGTGAGTGTAGTGGTGAGTAGTGGTGAGTAGTGGTGAGTGTAATGGTGAGTGTAGTAGTGAGTGTAGTGGTGAGTAGTGGTGAGTAGTGGTGAGTGTAGTGGTGAGTGTAGTGGTGAGTAGTGGTGAGTAGTGGTGAGTGTAGTAGTGAGTGTAGTTATGAGTGTAGTGGTGAGTGTAGTAGTGAGTGTAGTGGTGAGTGTAGTGGTGACTAGTGGTGAGTAGTGGTGAGTAGTGGTGAGTGTGGTGGTGAGTAGTGGTGAGTAGTGGTGAGTAGTGGTGAGTGTGGTGGTGAGTAGTGGTGAGTGTAGTGGTGAGTTTAGTGGTGAGTGTAGTGGTGAGTAGTGGTGAGTGTAGTGGTGAGTGTAGTGGTGAGTGTAGTGGTGAGTGTAGTAGTGAGTGTAGTGGTGAGTGTAGTGGTGAGCATTGGTGGTGAGTAGTGGTGAGTGTAGTGGTGAGTGTAGTGGTGAGTAGTGGTGAGTGTAGTGGTGAGTGTAGTAGTGAGTGTGGTGGTGAGTGTAGTAGTGAGTGTAGTGGTGAGTGTGGTGGTGAGTGTAGTGGTGAGTGTAGTGGTGAGTAGTGGTGAGTGTAGTGGTGAGTGTAGTGGTGAGTGTAGTGGTGAGTAGTGGTGAGTAGTGGTGAGTGTGGTGGTGAGTGTGGTGGTGAGTATTGGTGAGTATTGGTGAGTAGTGGTGAGTGTAGTGGTGAGTGTAGTGGTGAGTAGTGGTGAGTGTGGTGGTGAGTAGTAGTAGTGAGTGTAGTGGTGAGTGTGGTGGTGAGTGTAGTGGTGAGTAGTGGTGAGTGTGGTGGTGAGTAGTGGTGAGTAGTGGTGAGTGTGGTGGTGAGTAGTAGTAGTGAGTGTAGTGGTGAGTGTGGTGGTGAGTGTAGTGGTGAGTAGTGATGAGTAGTGGTGAGTGTGGTGGTGAGTAGTGGTGAGTAGTGGTGAGTGTAGTAGTGAGTGTAGTAGTGAGTGTAGTGGTGAGTGTGGTGGTGAGTGTAGTGGTGAGTAGTGGTGAGTATTGGTGAGTATTGGTGAGTGTAGTAGTGAGTGTGGTGGTGAGTAGTGGTGAGTATTGGTGAGGGTAGTAGTGGTGAGTAGTGGTGAGTGTAGTGGTGAGTGTGGTGAGTGTGGTGAGTGTGGTGGTGAGTGTAGTGGTGAGTGTAGTGGTGAGTGTGGTGGTGAGTGTAGTGGTGAGTATTGGTGAGTGGTCGTGAGTAGTGGTGAGTAGTGGTGAGTAGTGGTGAGTGTGGTGGTGAGTAGTGGTGAGTAGTGGTGAGTGTGTTGGTGAGTATTGGTGAGTGTGGTGGTGAGTGTGGTGAGTATTGGTGAGTGGTGGTGAGTAGTGGTGAGTAGTGGTGAGTAGTGGTGGTGAGTAGTGGTGAGTAGTGGTGAGTGTGGTGAGTAGTGGTGAGTGTAGTGGTGAGTATTGGTGAGTGTGGTGAGTGTGGTGGTGAGTAGTGGTGAGTAGTGGTGAGAGTAGTGGTGAGTAGTGGTGAGTAGTGGTGAGTGTGGTGGTGAGTGTGGTGAGTAGTGGTGAGTGTGGTGGTGAGTGTAGTGGTGAGTAGTGGTGAGTAGTGGTGAGTGTAGTGGTGAGTAGTGGTGAGTAGTGGTGAGTGTGGTGGTGAGTGTAGTGGTGAGTAGTGGTGAGTAGTGGTGAGTGTAGTGGTGAGTAGTGGTGAGTAGTGGTGAGTGTGGTGGTGAGTAGTGGTGAGTGTAGTGGTGAGTTTAGTGGTGAGTGTAGTGGTGAGTAGTGGTGAGTGTAGTGATGAGTGTAGTGGTGAGTAGTGGTGAGTGTAGTGGTGAGTGTAGTGGTGAGTAGTGGTGAGTGTAGTGATGAGTGTAGTGGTGAGTAGTGGTGAGTGTAGTGGTGAGTAGTGGTGAGTAGTGGTGAGTGTAGTGGTGAGTGTGGTGGTGAGTGTGGTGGTGAGTGTAGTAGTGAGTGTAGTGGTGAGTGTGGTGGTGAGTAGTAGTGAGTGTAGTGGTGAATGTAGTGGTGAGTAGTGGTGAGTGTGGTGGTGAGTGTAGTGGTGAGTAGTGGTGAGTGTAGTGGTGAGTATTGGTGAGTGTGGTGGTGAGTGTGGTGGTGAGTAGTGGTGAGTAGTGGTGAGTGTAGTGGTGAGTGTGGTGGTGAGTAGTGGTGAGTAGTGGTGAGTATTGGTGAGTAGTGGTGAGTGTGGTGAGTAGTGGTGAGTAGTGGTGAGTAGTAGTGAGTGTGGTGGTGAGTAGTGGTGAGTAGTGGTGAGTATTGGTGGTGAGTATTGGTGAGTAGTGGTGAGTGTGGTGGTGAGTAGTGGTGAGTAGTGGTGAGTATTGGTGGTGAGTATTGGTGAGTAGTGGTGAGTGTAGTGGTGAGTATTGGTGGTGAGTGTGGTGAGTGTGGTGGTGAGTAGTGGTGAGTAGTGGTGAGTAGTGGTGAGTGTAGTGGTGAGTAGTGGTGAGTAGTGGTGAGTGTAGTAGTGAGTGTAGTAGTGAGTGTGGTGGTGAGTATTGGTGAGTAGTGGTGAGTGTAGTGGTGAGTGTAGTGGTGAGTGTAGTAGTGAGTGTAGTAGTGAGTGTGGTGGTGAGTAGTGGTGAGTAGTGGTGAGTGTGGTGAGTAGTGGTGAGTGTGGTGGTGAGTAGTGGTGAGTAGTGGTGAGTGTGGTGGTGAGTAGTGGTGAGTAGTGAGTAGTGGTGAGTGTGGTGGTGATGCTCACCTTGGTGTCGGCCAGTTTGCTCACCACGGTGGCATCGCTCAGAACCTCTGTGGTGAGCGGAGAGAGGGGGGAGAGTGGTGAGTGGGTGGTGAGTGGTGAGTGGTGAGTGAGTGGGTGGTGAGTGGGTGGTGAGTGGGTGGTGAGTGGTGAATGAGTGGTGAGTGGGTGAGTGGGTGAGTGAGTGGGTGAGTGGATGGGTGAGTGAGTGAGTGGTGAGTGGTGAGTGGGTGAGTGGGTGAGTGAGTGGGTGGTGAGTGGGTGGTGAGTGGGTGGTGAGTGGGTGGTGAGTGGTGAGTGAGTGGTGAGTGGGTGGTGAGTGAGTGGTGAGTGGGTGGTGAGTGGGTGAGTGAGTGGGTGGTGAGTTGGTGGTGAGTGGGTGGTGAGTGGGTGGGTGGTGAGTGGGTGGTGAGTGAGTGGTGGGTGGTGAGTGGGTGAGTGGGTGGTGAGTGGGTGGTGAGTGGGTGAGTGGTGAGTGGTGAGTGGGTGGTGAGTGGTGAGTGGGTGGTGAGTGGGTGAGTGGTGAGTGGGTGGTGAGTGAGTGGATGAGTGAGTGGGTGAGTGAGTGGGTGGGTGGTGAGTGGGTGGTGAGTGGGTGGTGAGTGGGTGGTGAGTGGGTGGTGAATGGGTGAGTGGGTGGTGAGTGAGTGAGTGAGTGGGTGGGTGGTGAGTGGGTGGTGAGTGGGTGGTGAGTGGGTGGTGAGTGGGTGGTGAGTGGGTGAGTGGGTGGTGAGTGGGTGGTGAGTGGGTGGTGAGTGGGTGAGTGAGTGGGTGGTGAGTGGGTGGTGAGTGGGTGGGTGGTGAGTGGGTGGTGAGTGGGTGAGTGAGTGAGTGGGTGGGTGGTGAGTGGGTGGTGAGTGGGTGGTGAGTGGGTGAGTGAGTGAGTGGTGAGTGGGTGAGTGGGTGAGTGAGTGGGTGAGTGGATGGGTGGGTGGGTGAGTGGATGGGTGAGTGAGTGAGTGGTGAGTGAGTGAGTGAGTGGTGAGTGGGTGGTGAGTGGGTGGTGAGTGGGTGGTGAGTGGTGAGTGAGTGGTGAGTGGGTGGTGAGTGGGTGGTGAGTGGGTGGTGAGCGGAGAGAGGGGGGAGAGTGGTGAGTGGGTGGTGAGTGGGTGGTGAGTGGGTGAGTGAGTGAGTGGTGAGTGGGTGAGTGGGTGAGTGAGTGGGTGAGTGGATGGGTGGGTGGGTGAGTGGATGGGTGAGTGAGTGAGTGGTGAGTGAGTGAGTGAGTGGTGAGTGGGTGGTGAGTGGGTGGTGAGTGGTGAGTGAGTGGTGAGTGGGTGGTGAGTGGGTGGTGAGTGGGTGGTAAGTGGGTGGTGAGTGGTGAGTGAGTGGTGGGTGAGTGAGTGGGTGGTGAGTGGGTGGTGAGTGGGTGGTGAGTGGGTGGTGAGTGAGTGGTGAGTGGGTGGTGAGTGGGTGGTGAGTGGGTGGTGAGTGGGTGGTGGGTGGGTGGTGAGTGGTGAGTGGTGAGTGGGTGAGTGGGTGGGTGGTGAGTGAGTGGTGAGTGGGTGGTGAGTGGGTGGTGAGTGGGTGGGTGGGTGAGTGGGTGAGTGGGTGGGTGGTGAGTGAGTGGTGAGTGGGTGGTGAGTGGGTGGTGAGTGGGTGGTGAGTGGGGGGAGAGTACAGGTGGTGAGTGGGTGGTGAGTGGGTGGTGAGTGGGTGGGTGAGTGGGTGGTGAGTGGGTGGTGAGTGGGGGGAGAGTACAGGTGGTGAGTGGGTGGTGAATGGGTGGTGAGTGGGTGGTGAGTGGGTGGTGAGTGGGTGGTGAGTGGGGGGAGAGTACAGGTGGTGAATGGGTGGTGAGTGGGTGGGTGAGTGGGTGGGTGAGTGGGTGGGTGAGTGGGTGGTGAGTGGGGGGAGAGTACAGGTGGTGAGTGGGTGGTGAGTGGGTGGTGAGTGGGTGGTGAGTGGGTGGTGAGTGGGTGAGTGGTGAGTGAGTGGTGGGTGAGTGAGAGGTGAGTGAGTGAGTGGGTGGTGAGTGGGTGGTGAGTGGGTGGTGAGTGGGTGAGTGGTGAGGGAGTGGTGGGTGAGTGAGAGGTGAGTGAGTGAGTGAGTGGGTGGTGAGTGGGTGGTGAGTGGGTGAGTGGTGAGTGAGTGGTGGGTGAGTTAGTGGGTGGTGAGTGGGTGGTGAGTGGGTGGTGAGTGGTGAGTGGGTGAGTGGTGAGTGGTGGGTGAGTGGGTGAGTGGGTAGTGAGTGGGTGGTGAGTGGGTGGTGAGTGGGTGGTGAGTGGTGAGTGGGTGAGTGGTGAGTGGTGAGTGGGTGGTGAGTGGGTGGTGAGTGGGTGGTGAGTGGGTGGTGAGTGGTGAGTGGGTGGGTGGGTGGGTGAGTGGTGAGTGGGTGAGTGGTGAGTGGTGGGTGAGTGGGTGGGTGAGTGGTGAGTGAGTGGTGAGTGGGTGGTGAGTGGTGAGTGGGTGGGTGAGTGGTGAGTGAGTGGTGAGTGGGTGGTGAGTGGGTGGTGAGTGGGTGAGTGGGTGGTGAGTGGGTGGTGAGTGGGTGGTGAGTGGGTGAGTGGTGAGTGAGTGGTGGGTGAGTGAGAGGTGAGTGAGTGAGTGGGTGGTGAGTGGGTGGTGAGTGGGTGGGTGAGTGGGTGGTGAGTGGTGAGTGGGTGAGTGGTGAGTGGTGGGTGAGTGGGTGAGTGGGTAGTGAGTGGGTGGTGAGTGGGTGGTGAGTGGGTGGTGAGTGGGTGGTGAGTGGTGAGTGGGTGAGTGGTGAGTGGTGGGTGAGTGGGTGAGTGGGTGGTGAGTGGGTGGTGAGTGGGTGGTGAGTGGATGGGTGGGTGGGTGAGTGGTGAGTGGGTGAGTGAGTGGGTGGTGAGTGGGTGGTGAGTGGGTGGTGAGTGGGTGGGTGAGTGGTGAGTGAGTGGTGAGTGGGTGGTGAGTGGGTGGTGAGTGGGTGAGTGGGTGGTGAGTGGGTGGTGAGTGAGTGAGTGAGTGGGTGAGTGGATGGTGAGTGAGTGGGTGGTGAGTGGGTGAGTGAGTGAGTGGGTGAGTGGATGGGTGGGTGGGTGAGTGGGTGAGTGGATGGGTGAGTGAGTGAGTGAGTGGTGAGTGGGTGGTGAGTGGGTGGGTGAGTGGTGGGTGAGTGGGTGGGTGAGTGGGTGGTGAGTGGGTGGTGAGTGGGGGGAGAGTACAGGTGGTGAGTGGGTGGTGAATGGGTGGTGAGTGGGTGGTGAGTGGGTGGTGAGTGGGTGCTGAGTGGGGGGAGAGTACAGGTGGTGAGTGGGTGGTGAGTGGGTGGGTGAGTGGGTGGGTGAGTGGGTGGGTGAGTGGGTGGTGAGTGGGGGGAGAGTACAGGTGGTGAGTGGGTGGTGAGTGGGTGGTGAGTGGGTGGTGAGTGGGTGGTGAGTGGGTGAGTGGTGAGTGAGTGGTGGGTGAGTGAGAGGTGAGTGAGTGAGTGGGTGGTGAGTGGGTGGTGAGTGGGTGGTGAGTGGGTGAGTGGTGAGTGAGTGGTGGGTGAGTGAGAGGTGAGTGAGTGAGTGGGTGGTGAGTGGGTGGTGAGTGGGTGAGTGGTGAGTGAGTGGTGGGTGAGTTAGTGGGTGGTGAGTGGGTGGTGAGTGGGTGGTGAGTGGTGAGTGGGTGAGTGGTGAGTGGTGGGTGAGTGGGTGAGTGGGTAGTGAGTGGGTGGTGAGTGGGTGGTGAGTGGTAAGCGAGTGGGTGGTGAGTGGTGAGTGGGTGAGTGGTGAGTGGTGGGTGAGTGGTGTGAGTGGGTGGTGAGTGGGTGGTGAGTGGGTGGTGAGTGGGTGGTGAGTGGTGAGTGGATGGGTGGGTGGGTGAGTGGTGAGTGGGTGAGTGGTGAGTGGTGGGTGAGTGGGTGGGTGAGTGGTGAGTGAGTGGTGAGTGGGTGGTGAGTGGGTGGTGAGTGGGTGGGTGAGTGGTGAGTGAGTGGTGAGTGGGTGGTGAGTGGGTGGTGAGTGGTGTGAGTGGGTGGTGAGTGGGTGGTGAGTGGGTGGTGAGTGGGTGAGTGGTGAGTGAGTGGTGGGTGAGTGAGAGGTGAGTGAGTGAGTGGGTGGTGAGTGGGTGGTGAGTGGGTGGTGAGTGGTGAGTGGGTGAGTGGTGAGTGGTGGGTGAGTGGGTGAGTGGGTGGTGAGTGGGTGGTGAGTGGGTGGTGAGTGGGTGGTGAGTGGGTGAGTGGGGTGAGTGGTGAGTGGTGGGTGAGTGGGTGAGTGGGTGGTGAGTGGGTGGTGAGTGGGTGGTGAGTGGATGGTGGGTGGGTGAGTGGTGAGTGGGTGAGTGAGTGGGTGGTGAGTGGGTGGTGAGTGGGTGGTGAGTGGGTGGGTGAGTGGTGAGTGAGTGGTGAGTGGGTGGTGAGTGGGTGGTGAGTGGGTGAGTGGGTGGTGAGTGGGTGGTGAGTGAGTGAGTGAGTGGGTGAGTGGATGGTGAGTGAGTGGGTGGTGAGTGGGTGAGTGAGTGAGTGGGTGAGTGGATGGGTGGGTGGGTGAGTGGGTGAGTGGATGGGTGAGTGAGTGGTGAGTGGGTGGTGAGTGGGTGGGTGAGTGGTGGGTGAGTGAGTGAGTGGATGGTGAGTGAGTGGTGGGTGAGTGGTGGGTGAGTGAGTGGGTGGTGAGTGGGTGAGTGAGTGGGTGAGTGGATGGGTGGGTGGGTGAGTGGTGAGTGGGTGAGTGGTGGGTGAGTGAGTGAGTGGTGAGTGGGTGGTGAGTGGGTGGGTGAGTGAATGGGTGAGTCAGTGAGTGGGTGAGTGAGTGGGTGGGTGAGTGGGTGGGTGAGTGGGTGGTGAGTGGGTGGTGAGTGGGGGGAGAGTACAGGTGGTGAGTGGGTGGTGAGTGGGTGGTGAGTGGGTGGTGAGTGGGTGAGTGGTGAGTGAGTGGTGGGTGAGTGAGAGGTGAGTGAGTGAGTGGGTGGTGAGTGGGTGGTGAGTGGGTGGTGAGTGGGTGAGTGGTGAGTGGTGGGTGAGTGGGTGAGTGGGTAGTGAGTGGGTGGTGAGTGGGTGGTGAGTGGGTGGTGAGTGGGTGGTGAGTGGGTGAGTGGTGAGTGAGTGGTGGGTGAGTGAGTGGGTGGTGAGTGGGTGGTGAGTGGGTGGTGAGTGGGTGGTGAGTGGTGAGTGGGTGAGTGGTGAGTGGTGGGTGAGTGGGTGAGTGGGTAGTGAGTGGGTGGTGAGTGGGTGGTGAGTGGGTGGTGAGTGGGTGGTGAGTGGGTGGTGAATGGTGAGTGGGTGAGTGGTGAGTGGTGGGTGAGTGGGTGAGTGGGTGGTGAGTGGGTGGTGAGTGGGTGGTGAGTGGATGGGTGGGTGGGTGAGTGGTGAGTGGTGGGTGAGTGGGTGGGTGAGTGGTGAGTGAGTGGTGAGTGGGTGGTGAGTGGGTGGTGAGTGGGTGGGTGAGTGGTGAGTGGGTGGTGAGTGGGTGGTGAGTGGGTGAGTGGGTGGTGAGTGGGTGGTGAGTGGGTGGTGAGTGGGTGGTGAGTGGGTGAGTGGTGAGTGAGTGGTGGGTGAGTGAGAGGTGAGTGAGTGAGTGGGTGGTGAGTGGGTGGTGAGTGGGTGGTGAGTGGTGAGTGGGTGAGTGGTGAGTGGTGGGTGAGTGGGTGAGTGGGTAGTGAGTGGGTGGTGAGTGGGTGGTGAGTGGGTGGTGAGTGGTGAGTGGGTGAGTGGGTGAGTGGTGAGTGGTGGGTGAGTGGGTGAGTGGGTGGTGAGTGGGTGGTGAGTGGGTGGTGAGTGGTGAGTGGATGGGTGGGTGGGTGAGTGGTGAGTGGGTGAGTGGTGAGTGGTGGGTGAGTGGGTGAGTGGATGGGTGGGTGGGTGAGTGGTGAGTGGGTGAGTGAGTGGGTGGTGAGTGGGTGGTGAGTGGGTGGTGAGTGGGTGGGTGAGTGGTGAGTGAGTGGTGAGTGGGTGGTGAGTGGGTGGTGAGTGGGTGAGTGGGTGGTGAGTGGGTGGTGAGTGAGTGAGTGGGTGAGTGGATGGTGAGTGAGTGGGTGGTGAGTGGGTGAGTGAGTGGGTGAGTGGATGGGTGGGTGGGTGAGTGGGTGAGTGGTGGGTGAGTGAGTGAGTGGGTGAGTGGATGGGTGAGTGAGTGAGTGAGTGGTGAGTGGGTGGTGAGTGGGTGGGTGAGTGGTGGGTGAGTGAGTGAGTGGATGGTGAGTGAGTGGGTGAGTGGTGGGTGAGTGAGTGGGTGGTGAGTGGGTGAGTGAGTGGGTGAGTGGATGGGTGGGTGGGTGAGTGGTGAGTGGGTGAGTGGTGGGTGAGTGAGTGAGTGGTGAGTGGGTGGTGAGTGGGTGGGTGAGTGAATGGGTGAGTCAGTGAGTGGGTGAGTGAGTGAGTGGGTGAGTGGTGGGTGAGTGAGTGGGTGAGTGGTGGGTGAGTGAGTGAGTGGTGAGTGGGTGGTGAGTGGGTGGGTGAGTGAATGGGTGAGTGAATGGGTGAGTGAGTGAGTGGGTGAGTCAGTGAGTGAGTGGGTGAATGAGTGGGTGGTGAGTGCGTGAGTGGGTGAGTGAGTGAGTGAGTGGGTGGACGGGTGGTGAGTGGGTGAGTGAGTGAGTGAGTGGTGAGTGAGTGGATGAGTGAGTGGATGAGTGAGTGAGTGGATGAGTGAGTGGATGAGTGAGGGAGTGGATGAGTGAGTGGATGAGTGAGTGAGTTGATGAGTGAGTGAGTGAATGTACGAATGAGTGAATGAGTGAGTGAGTGGATGAGTGAGTGAGTGAGTGGATGTATGAGTGAGTGAATGTACGAGTGAGTGGATGAGTGAGTGAGTGAGTGGATGTATGAGTGAGTGAATGTACGAGTGAGTGGATGAGTGAGCGAGTGGATGAGTGAGTGAGTGGATGAGTGAGTGAGTGGATGAGTGAGTGAGTGGATGAGTGAGTGAGTGGATGAGTGAGTGAGTGGATGAGTGAGTGAGTGGATGTATGAGTGAGTGAATGTAAGAGTGAGTGGATGAGTGAGTGAGTGGATGTACGAGTGAGTGAATGTACGAGTGAGTGGATGAGTGAGTGAGTGGATGAGTGAGTGAGTGGATGAGTGAGTGAGTGGATGAGTGAGTGAGTGGATGTATGAGTGAGTGAATGTACGAGTGAGTGGATGAGTGAGTGAGTGGATGAGTGAGTGAGTGAGTGGATGAGTGAGTGAGTGAGTGGATGTACGAGTGAGTGGATGAGTGAGTGAGTGGATGAGTGAGTGAGTGGATGTATGAGTGAGTGAATGTACGAGTGAGTGGATGAGTGAGTGAGTGGATGTAT